ACGTCTGCATGAGATACTTAATTTGAGAACCCTTAAAAATAAGATAATGCTGCACACGTAACAAGCCAAAGAAAAAACTATTTTTCCAGTGACTTAAATTCCGTTTTTGTGTGGATGAAATGCTTAAACACATAGAAAACGCTACAACCAGTATACAACCAGTATACGTGTGGTCTAGGCCTTATACTACTGCAGAAAGTGTTAGCTAGCTCGTAGCACTGGTTCGTAGGTAAGCCTCTACCAGAAAACAAGCAAATACAACTCACAGTATCTCTTAAATTGTCTTAATTGTATCGCTAGCTAGTTTGCTAACATTAGTAATATATTAACTTACATTGAGGAATTGGAGTTAGTGATTAAACCCCAGGATTTCACAGCGAGGTTCGAGACCTGTGCAGAGCTGTAGTCACTGAGGCTAACGTTTAAGCTAGCTGTTGACGGTCAGTATTGATGTCTATATCACACAACATGAAAACAAGGTGTGACATGGTGTGTAGGGCTTTGAGTTGTTTAAAGATACCTTTGAGCAAAGGGACTGATTCACAAAACTCACAAGTGTTTTAACTAACTAATATAAATACCTACTATCGCTGTTGAGTAGTACGTTTGCATTTTCATTGTGCAATCAGTAATGTATTACTTGCAAAAACATTGTATTCAAGACAGTAATAAAAAGTTAGGAGGACGCCCAATTTGACCTTTGTTACACCACCACAGCAACACAGCATGTCCCTATTGGCTTGTTCAGGTTTACTGTTATATCACTGTGACACAAGTAAGCATTAAATCAAGAGAGTGTCTCTGTGCTGTGATGGTCTGTGTCTCCATGCTCGCCTGCCTGTGTGTGTGTGTGTGTGTGTGTGTGTGTGTGTGTGTCTTTAGGATTTTAGCTGAACTGTGACAACAGTGTTACTAAGCTGTTAAATCTGAAAAACAAACAGACACACTTAGAGTGAGCAGAAAAATAAAAGAAACAGGATGAAAACAGCCACGATGTGAGCTGTTACTTGCCAGATCATCAAACAACACCTTTCCTCTGTCTGGTCAATGCTTGTGGGTAGAAGAGAGACAAACTGACGCCAAGAAAGAAGACCAGACAGAGAGTGAACCAGGGCCAAACAGAGAGAAAAGAGAGATTTGGCAAAGATAGAGCTAAAAAAAGATCAAATATAAAGCAAGACTGGAAGATTGACTAAGGCAAGCAAGCCAGAGAGGACGAGATATAAAAAAGAGTCTATGTCATGTCCAACAAGGGCTGAATACATATTTTATATATCCAAAGGCTGGGCATAAAAAATTAACCCGGTCATCCTGTCTCTACATGATCTCACCTAATGACGGCAAAGTGCTGCTCTCTCTGCCCCGCTTGAACACACAGACACATACACACACTTTAAATAGAGCCTCCGTGTAGAGTGTATTCAGTTTAGCAGTAGCAAAGTGCACTTTGACGTGTATGTTCGAGTGTGTCTATCCGTCCTCCAAAACACAACCTCCAGAGCCGGCCGAGTCCAGACGAAGACCAAGCGAAGAAAAAATAAAAGGCCATCAGCATATTGAGTATAAAAACCCACATGGAGTTAATAATTTATCCACACATCTATTGCATATTCAAAAGAACATCTGGTAAACCTACGGAAGTCAAATCAGTTTTGAAATACATCAGACTCATAATCTCACTTAACCCCATCTATAATATTGAAAATGTTAGTTCATGTCATACAAATTGATCATGAACATACAGTATTTCTCTAACTCTAGATACTTATACAACTGTCAAAATGTTTATTCATCCAGATGGACAAAAGAGTCTTTGAGGATTATGGAAATACCTTTGAAATTGTGGAACGCGTCATTCAAAAACAATTTAAGGGTTTTTCACAAATAACCAAGGATTTATCTTTCAGTAAAACAGAGGCTAAGTAACTCCATTGTAATTATACAAAAGAAGAACAAACTGAGGATGGATCAAATTGAAAAAAGTGTTCCCCCTGTGAAAGGATGGAGGTTGCCAATAAAATAAACAGACATTATATTTTCTGTTAAAATTAGCTATTACTATACAAGGTGTTATTGTCTTTTCTAAATGAGATGTTATATGCCATAGTATTGTTAGTTATAGTCTAAAGCAGGTGAATGATCTGTTCTGATCATGTCTCTGTGTCTGTTACGAGTCAAGCACTAGGACCCTGGGTGCCCTGGCCCAGTTAAACACCGCTTGTTGTTTAATTAATATGCATGCCAGCTTAATTATGACTGGTCCTTATCGTCTCATTTCATGACACAGCATACCTAATTGGCTGAGCTCAAATGCTGTGAGGGGAAAGTGCGTTAAACTTCTGCAATGCCTGTGTGAAGATACCACACACACACATTTCTATCTGCACACACAGGAAGGGAGAAAAGGAGAGTAAGAAAAAAGGAATTGCCCCTCTTTACATCGACAATAACCAATTTAAAAGCAGTGAATGCCTTTAAGACAAATGCGACACAAATGTGTGGCTTTCATCTGTTGTCACTCTTCAGGGAAACAGGGATTTACCACTTCATACCAATTTGTTGTTTATTTACCAATTGAGTGAGCATGGAGGTCTTCATGCACGTGTGACAACATTGTCCTCCCATTCTCGACAGTGACAACACTTCTGAAGCCAGTTTCTGTTTACCACCAAAAACTTTACCCCCAGGCAAACAGGATCGATTCAGAGGCTTGACCAGGATGCAACAGAGACAGATCAATGTGCAGGAAGCAGGGGAGGGGAAAGCAATGCAGAGGATCCGCGTAGAGGATAAGGACTGAGTTTAAACCTCTTCTTTTTCCAAGGGATTCAGAAACACATTGGTTTCTATATGTATTATGTTTCTATGCACTCCTATTTTCGTTAAATACATTCATGGTTGGAAAAATCCTCTTATAACTAATCATCACTATATATTGTGTTTTGGCTTCTAGCTTCTCATAGGAGCAACATGATGTTTACCCACATCTCCATGACCATGCAATTGAAATATTCTAAATGTCTTGCCTATTTTATACATTATTCACAAACATTCGACCTGATGTATTGGTTATTTTTGGAAACGTTGGAACTCTTCTAGAAAATAAAATAAAGTTGTATGGGCTCCTTCAATGATTGCCTGCACAGCATGCGGTTGTAATGATAAATAAGTTGGCTTGAAAAGGATGTTTTTTACCATTAAATTATTAGACTGCTAGGGAAAAAGGGAAAGTGGTGTTTTAATATCTTAAAACAGATTTTAAAAGTAAGTTATAGAGGCATGACACAAATACAAATTATCCTCTGAAGCTACACCGACTTTAAGATTGGAAGAGAGAAGCGTCTGATCAAACACTTCCAGTCAGGCAGCTGAATTATGGAAGTAATCCAATTTATATTAAGGAGAGAAACCTTTGGAACAAGATGCTTACCCTCAACACCACCATCCCTCTTTTTAATAGCCTCCTACCATCAAACCATTCCTCAGTAAATGTTTAGTCCAGGCAGCCTTTGTTTTATACCTGAGAGTAGGAATTGAGAGAGGCAGTGTGAAGAGACGGGAAATAAAGTCGTATATCAGAGTGAAACCCTCGAAGCTCCAGTGTAGTATTGATCTCATGATGAGTTGCGCAACAGACGATGCTGCGTTTAACCTCTTCTACCACTGACCTACAACAGTAATGGACTCTTGCCTGGAGCTACAGACTCAGCAATACTGACGCATGGCTCCATCGGGGACACTGCCGGTCTGTTAAATCCACAACTTTGGTTCTGGAATATCTGTGTTATACGTACTGACTTTGGTGATCACCAGACTTTTCCTCCAGTACCAGCATTACTGTAGGTACATTTGTGGCATAAAGTGAAATATCTCAACAACTCAGAGAGCCGCTAGTATGGCCACAGACTTTTAGTATTGTTTAGAAAAACTTGAATATTCCATAACCCCTCCAAACTGATGGCTTTGCCAATTTAGTTTTTTCTAGTAAGTGGAGTTATCCTTGCACCTGTTACTATCTTGCGTCTTTGATATGGTATGTGCAAGTACATTATTATAAACTATGAATCACTTTCAAACTGCAACCTTCCTTTACACGCAAGTGATCTTTAATCATCTCTGCAGGAATGGTTGATGTTTATTATCAGTGTTTTTCGTAGACACAGGATCAAATGTAAAGAGATTGTGTCAGTGTCAGGGCAAGAAGCACTGATCTACTGTAATTTATGGTTTCATATTATAAATGTTACAGTTTTAACCATTTACATAATAAACCTATAATCCTTCCAGTCCCTGTGAGCAGCACTCAGAACACTCACTGTGACCTTGTCCCAGTGTGGAAAGAGAAACCATTTATCTTATCATCTCCTGCAATGCTGCATAGATCACATACACACATATTCAAGCACAAAGGCATGCACAAATTAACACACATCATATAAAACACGTCATGTGCACCCGCAGTCATGGCTGGCCACACAGCAAGCTTAGAAGTGGAGCCATAAATCTTCGATATATGGAGCAGAACCAGTTTCTATTATAATGGATCTCCATCACTCTCGCTATGTGTACAGCTGGACACTAACTCACAGGAGGGCCGGAGAGAGAAAGTGTGATGATGGTGGCACGACTGCAACACTGCTGTTAGGAGTGTGTGCACTAGGTGGCTGCATTATAACAGCTGTCTTATCTTTGCAGCACATTTTGTAGCAAATTAACAAACAATCCATGACAGAATAAAAAAGAGAATGTAGTTAAGAGTGAGTATGAATCTTTTATAACATGTGTGTGTTTGCATATTCCCATGTGTTTGTGATGTAGNGAGGTACAGCAGATACCTGGAAACACACACACACACACACACACACACACACACACACACACACACACACACACACACACACACACACACACACAGTGTGTGTGTGTGTGTGTGTGTGTGTGTGTGTGTGTGTGTGTGTGTGTGTGTGTGTGTGTGTGTGTGTGTGTGTGTGTTTCCAGGTATCTGCTGTACCTCCAGCTGAAGAGAGATATATACCACGGCCGTCTCCTCTGCCCTTTTGCTGAAGCTGCATATCTGGGAGCCTGCATCATACAGGGTGAGGCAGCCATTAGATTTAGTTTACATCTATTGACAGTAAATCCACTTATGATTTTCCATGTTACAGTTTGATCACGCTTTAGGGCGGGATATCTAGATAATATTTCCTTAATGTCTTTTACACTTCCATCACGTAATAAACTGGCAAGTTAATGTTAGCTTTTTGGGCGATAAATATCTAGTAGCAATCAACCAATCAATCAACGTTTATTTATATAGCCCAATATCACACATTTTACATTTTTCTATGGGGGCCCTCATCCTTAGAACCTCACATCTGATAAGGAAAAACACCCAAAGAAACCCCACAACCCGCAACTATTTTCTACGTAAGGACTAGTTTGTGTATGAAACCTGCTAATAATGTGTAATGTAAATCTCCACTTAGTTAACACTCGTCCTAACTAGGCTATGTCTGTAGGAAGAGCTCCATTCGTCTCATTAACCTGCTACATTTCAAGTCATCAGCCTTTTGTTGAAATCCGCCTCTTGAGGATTTATTTGAGCTTTTAAGTTAATTATTAGTAATGTTAAATCACAGTGTGGAGACACTTGCTATAATAAGGATTAAGGGTGTAATTAACTGTATCATAAACGAACTCCTCTGGAAGATGCACACATCTCTGCTCTGAGCTAACTCTGATTGGTTCATATCCCCAGAGAGAGCCGTATGAGTGGCTGAGTAATCTCCACACAGTGAGTCTGCAGCGTATCATTGGCTGCTCCAATTAACAGAGGCAGGTCCCTCTCTGTCAGGGTGATGATAACAGAGCCTCAGAATAGGTTGAGGATTACTGTGTAATTAAACTCCAGGCAAGTTTCCTATTTAACCTTTATTGTTACTGCTAATTAAGAACGGATTAAAAAGAGAAATTGGTGTCAGTTGGGGCTTTGTACCTGATTCAATGAGGAAAACGTTTATCTATTAGGGTTATCTCAGCTCCCTACAGCCATGCAACCTTTAAAATGAAATCACTACCCTACATAAATGTCCCAATATGCAAGGTTAATGGACTCTATTTGATATGATGCTGAATTGCTAGCGTTTAAAAATGTGTATTATTCCTTTGAAACACATGTACACATTTTCCTAACTGCACTCTTTTTTAGACGGTTGTCACACAGATATAATCTCTGTCTTTAGCTGAGTTTGGGGACTACGACCCAGAAGAGCACCCGTCAGACTACATCAGAGACTTCAAGCTGTTCCCTAAACAGTCCCTGAAACTGGAGAGGAAGATTATGGAGATACACAAGAATGAGCTCAGGTAAAACAGATGTGTGTGTGTGTGTGTGTGTGTGTGTGTGTGTGTGTGTGTGTGCGTGCGTGCGTGCGTGCGTGCGTGCGTGCGTGTGTACGTCTTTGTGTGTGTCGCCTGGTTGTTTTCTGGAGCTGCGTCTTTGTGATCAGTTTACTGTTTGATTGTGATGACAGGCGTGGATGCTCACTCTTGTGATCTGTGTTTTCAAAACAGGCTGTGAAGACAATTTTCCACTGCAAACAAAAAAGCGTTTTCTGTTGTTCTGGGTAGAGACCATATGTGATGATGTCTAGAGATTTGTGGTGCATTGTATTGCAGGAGGTTATTTCAGTTGTAAGTAAATAAAAACTGAAATTAATTTGCAGGGCAATGTGCATGTTTTATTCATTCCTGTCGCAGTTTGGACACAGTGCTTGCTACTACAAGATCTTCAGAATCTTCTTCAGAACATTGGGTTGAAATTCAATATACTGTAACAGGTTGGATGAAGTAATCAGGCCCTGCTTTTGTCTATAATATCTATAAACCCTGGCATGTTCTCTGCTTGTTTACAGAACTTTGTTGATGTGGAATAACAACACGAGAAATAAACTGATTCAAAAGAGGAGATTAGTGCATGCAGAGGTTGATTCAGAAATATAATGAAAAAAGTAAATGAAATTGAACTAATAAAGCAGGAAGAGGATATATTCCTAAATAATGTAGGGAGGGAAATAATGGCAAATAACAATAATGAGCTCAGGTAAAAAACAGATGTGTGTGTGTGTGTGTTGGTTTGTCTGTGTGTGTATGGTGCGATATACATAAAGCCCCTCCCTCGGGCTGTTTATTTGTATCATAGCTGCAGCTCATAAGTGATGTTGTTAGGTTTATGACCGTCACACTTGCAGCAATTATAGAAACATCAAAGACAAATCCTTCATCTCCCACTGCGCACAGGCAGATGATGCCGAGTGCCCTCTGTCTGCCCGATGGCTCTGACAGAGAGGATTAACAGCATGTAGATTATTACTGAGCCGTAAAAAGACCCTTCAGGTGATTTACAAATGGGGCGGGGTACGTCTGCAATTTTTATTTGGAAGCAGTCATTTAATGGATTTAACATTGACTTGATGTGCATAGACAGATGTATGTGTGTTCAAGTATAATGTTGATTTATTTGTCTGGCGTCAGAGGTCACTCACTTTCTTGATCTTGCAAGATGGAGCTTTCCTCTCAGACAAATAAGCGGGTAAAGCTTCCCACTGAACACTGTTTATCTTTCTGTTACTGCAAAAGTATAAGAGATTAAGACCGGGCCAAATGTAATAACTTTTAAATATTTGCTAATGTTTGTAACCCAAACAATATCTTTCCAAGGCACATTCGCATGTTCCCTCACTTTCTGTGAAGGAAGACATTTCATTCAAATCTCAGTCAACCCATAATGCTATTGTATGCACATAAAATAGTGAAAACATAGATCAACTCTACAGGGACATATGCTGACAACATGTGTCATGTGTTGAATGTTAAATAACCCTTTCCTCTTTTGTCCTCTCCTCTCTTTTAGGGGCCAGTGCACTTCGTTTGCAGAGCTGAACATGCTCCAAAGGGCTCACATCCTCGAGACGTATGGAGTGGACCCTCACCCCTGCAAGGTAACCTTAGGCGAGTGCTTCCAGTCTGACTGTGAGGTCTGATGCTGTTGTTAGTGAAAAGACTCCACTGATTAAAGTCATGCAAATCTCTTTCTTAATATTGCCACACTTTAATATCCATTCCTCAGTACTTTACCCACTTATTGTTGCTTTTTTTAAATCTCACCACCTCGTGTGTCCATCTTTATCACATGTTGTTCACTGCTCCTCTCTTTGTATGTGCATTTATACAATATACACAATTATTATCATTTGTATGTAATGATTGAAATACTGTACTATGGACAAAGGCATTGGGGCAGTTGCTGGTTTGCCTTTACATATTTAACTGAAACCTGTACTGTATGCACATGATTCACTTTATCAACAGCCGGCTTTGAGAAAACCTGAGGTCACTAAGAGAGGAGTAATATTGGGTGAGACAGAGGTGAGGAGTGAGGGAAGGTCGAGGTCAGCAGAGAATTCCCATTTGCATCTCCTGCAACATTTCAACAAAAAGCAATCTGTTCTGCACAGAAACCATTACTCTCAGGAATCATTGATCGGATAACATCATGGATTCAGAAAGTCAATGTCATCGACTCAATCGTAGTGTTAGTATTGTTTTCCATTTGACACTTTAATGTGCACCTTGCTTTACACTGTAATACTGTGACGGCTTGTACTTTTTTTTATTATGTTCCTCGTCACCATTTTAAAGATAGAAAAGACTGAATCTGATCAAGAAATCTAATATGTGAGATAACTAGAAACACACGGGAGGACAGGCGTATCAGAGCATGATGAGCAGATTAACAAGATATTTAAAATCTGTCTATTGGAAAGGATCCTCTTCAGACTGCCCTGCTCTGGTTAGTGGGGCTGTTTTAATTTGGTTTGCTGGAAATGGCTGTAGCATCATACATTTGCAGATCTGTCAAGATCAATAATCAGAGAAATGATTAGGAACTGAGAGGGAGAGAGAGAGATGTACAGAGATAGAGAGGCACAGCAGCAGAGGGACGTCTGATAAGGTGGAGTGACAGGAACATATTGTGTTCTGCTTTTGCTCCAATGTTGTTATCCGTTTCATTTCGCCTCACCATATCAAACCTGTATTTTCTGTCCCTTGGTTTTGACACAAGTTTCTGCAAAATTAGGGGGTTGAAGTTTGAAACAAACAAGAGATTTTGTGTAGGCAACATTACCATGGAGATTAATGATGGCTCACATGCATCCCTGCTGTTAATCCACCTGTAACGTGTGTGTGTGTGTGTGTGTGTGTGTGTGTGTGTGTGTGTGTGTGTGTGTGTGTGTGTGTGTGTGTGTGTGTGTGTGTGTGTGTGTGTGTGTGTGTGTGTGTGTGTGTGTGGTGTGTTTGTGCGTAATTCTGTGTGTGTGTGTGTGTGTGTGTGTGTGTGTGTGTGTGTGTGTGTGTGTGTGTGTGTGTGTGTGTGTGTGTGTGTGTGTGTGTGTGTGTGTGTGTGTGTGTGTGTGTGTGTGTGTGTGTGCTGTGTTTGAGAGAGAGAGAGAGAGATGTGTGTGTGTGTGTGTGTGTGTGTGTGTGTGTGTGTGTGTGTGTGTGTGTGTGTGTGTGTGTGTGTGTGTGTGTGTGTGTGTGTTTATGTGTGTTTGTGCGTAATTCTGTGTGTGTGTGTGTGTGGGTGGGTTTGCAGGATTTCACAGGCTCCATAGCTTTTCTCGGGTTCACTGCCACAGGTTTTGTGGTCTTCCAGGGAAACAAGAGGATCCATCTCCTCAAATGGTAGATGTTTGTCCAAAACCCTGTTTATGAAATGTGTATTCTTCATCAAATATAATCATTACACACTCTTGGTCTTTGTTTGAATCTCAAATGGAGCTGAATATAATATTTAATATAAGCCATTTAAAATGATGTTCTTTGACTTAAGTTATTATTGTTGTTCCATAGCAACAAATCTGTTTCAAAATTTCAGGATTTTAGGATTTAGCAAAGCACAAACAGTTAATCTCTGACAAATGAAATGTAATCATATTGCTCCACTTTAAATCATGTCCTGAATAGCAAGGCTATGTTTCTCAGTTATTATGTCAAAAGTATGTGTATGTTTTGGCCTAATTTGAACCCTGATCATGTTATTAATGATACCATGTCTTTTTTTTGCAGGGCTGATGTTAGCAAGCTGAAGTTTGAAGGAAAAACCTTTTACGTCATTGGGATTCAGAAAGAGGTGAGTGTGTGTTCTTTCTTCCCTAAAGGGCAACATCTATAATAAAATATGCTGTGTAGTTTCCTCCATCACGATGATGAATTGTGTAGTCCTGTTGTCATCTTCATGTAGTCAACCTTTAACATTTGTGTGGATCAGTACTTCTTGAAAAACAAAATATGACTATAATGCAGATGCACACTTACCATCTGTTTTGTCTGACTTGACCTTTCAAGTGTACTCTACACCCTTTATTCTCTCTCCTCCTTCCTTCTTTCTCTCCCTTTTCCTCATCTGTGTTGTGGTTAAATCAGATAAATGAAGCTGTATTGTTTGTCTATGTAATCCACCATCCCATACACTGTATATGTGTGTGTGTGTGTGTGTGTGTGTCGCTGTTTCAGATCTCCTTAACAGGCAGGATGCACTGTGACAGGATGGTGGGTGGGTGTGTTGCGACTAACCTCCTCTCTCTCATCATGTGTCCATTGTGACCCAAATATGAGACTCCTTCATTACACCCAAGATTTATGACAAATACAAATGACGTGACATCTTTGATAGTCACACAGAGAGCAAATGCTAGGTAAAATATGTTCAGTAACTACCAGTACAGGTTTCTTGCATTTGGGACACATTTTTCATCTGTTAATCTGATGTTTGTCATCCAGAGAGCTGTGGTAGATTCGGAGCAGCAGTGCTGGTGCATTATGTCTCATACATGTGGATAGCATATTTTGTTGTTGTTGCAAGAACTACAGCTTATTACAGTATGTCTCATATTGCTGTTTGACCCATACACTAATGATTCATCACTGTAGCTAAATCCAGGTTGCTCTTTAATCTACCAATCAGCCAATCAACTCATCTCATATTCTTTTCATTACAGAAGCTTTAGCCTCTCATCTCTGCCTTACTTTGTTAGTCTGTCTTTCTGTCTGTTTGGCAACTCATGAATGGCTGAAGATGCAGTTATATCTTTGTGTTTCTGTCTTTTCTCTCTGTGTGTAAACATAGTCATCACTGGTGAGTAATTGCAAGTAATAATAGTAGCACTAAGCTATTTGATGCCTCTCACTACAATCCTGCCCTCACCTCACTAATGATTGGAAGAGCATTGTTCATTGTTTACTGTGTGCATTACCCGTTTGTGTCCTTTTGTTTTGTATCACTTTGTACAAAGTTTTAATGTAATTTCATGAAATGTATTTATTGTTTTTCACTCATGCGTTCAAACGGTTATTTTGTCGCCATCAACAAAAATATTCTGTTTTATGGTTGAAATTACATAACCATTTTTAATCCCTGTCTAAAGCCACATTATCAGAATAAGAATAACAGCTCCATTATCAGTAGTTTATAGATTATGAAATATTGATATGCATAATCTATAAGTCTGTCCATGTCATGTATTTAATGTCAGACATTGATGTTAAACAAATGTTGATTTCTTCATTTCTGTGCTCCTATATCTATTTGTGTGTGAGTATATATAATGCTATATATTTACATGTTTCACTATATTTTCTCAGATAATAATTTGTGTATGGATGTTAAGTGTGTGACGGATCACTGCATGGTTTCCATTTCAACTCTGTTATTTATCCTGGAACACAATAACGTAACAGTCCCACTTTGAGCAAAATGCAACTTTAATGGCTTTGTTATTTTTAACCCTTGCTTGAAAAGCTCCTTATACATTGTATAATTTTTCAACGTTCCAATTTTTTTATTGGTGTTCCAGCTTAGAAATAAAATGGTAATAGTAAATGATATTGGTTTAACATTACACCAGGGAGTAGCATTTGAAAAATAGCAAATTAGTGCATCAATTATTGTTTGAGATTTTGGTAACAGAAGATGCAGGTTATTCTGTCATTGCTGTTGGTACAAAAGCACTTTTTAGGAGCACTGAAATCATAAAATGTCATGTCATGTTGCAAAAGCACTTTGCACATCAGCCAAAAGACCAAAGACTATTGGTTAATAATATTCGGACGTGCTGCTACTTTCACAAACCTACAGTATGACCACACACACCGATACTCACATACACACAAACACACACACATTGCGTCTGCAGCACATGTGTGTAAATCACCACTACATCCCTAATATAACTGATGTGTATGAGTGGGGGGGAGGGGGTTGAGCAATAGGGCTGACTAAGCGGCTTTAGGAAAGGGAAGAAACAGCATTCCCGTGTTATTGATCTCAGTGTTCGCTCTCACTCTCCCTTTCACACTTTGTGGAGCAGCATTGATCTGATATCTCATATTACCCCACACACAGGAATAAAAAATAGACGTTTACAGGAATACATCCCTCCTCCTAGTCCATAAGACCCCTATTCTGCAAGCTACAACTGTGTCCCTGCTAAACACTGTGGCCAAATCACTGTATCTGTCTTGCATCTTGCTAAGCTTTCAGCTTCAGGTCCGTGGGTCAGCGGTTTTGCACAGCTCCCTCTCCTGGTTTCACCACTTCTCTTGCCCTTATTGACACGTCAATTAGTTATCTAATGTCTCATCCTAGCTGTGTGTCTCTCTCTCTCTCTCTCTCTCTCTCTCTCTCTCTCTCTCTCTCTCTCTCTCTCTCTCTCTCTCTCTCTCTCTGTCTCTCTCTCTCTCTCTTTCTCTCTCTCTCTCTCTCTCTCTCTCTCTCTCTCTCGCNCGCTCTCTCTCTCTCTCTCTCTCTCTCTCTCTTTGTCCTTCTCTGTGCAGAAGAAACTGGTGCTGACATTTCACACCTCAACCCCTGCTGCGTGTAAGCACCTATGGAAGTGCGGGGTGGAGAACCAAGCCTTTTACAAGTGCGTACAAATTACACACACACACACACACACACACACACACACGTACACGTACACGTACACACATGCTCACACACAGACACACTCATATCCAGGAAATGTATTGAGCTGCTCTTGACCTCAGAGACAAAAAAAAAAGATGATATTTGTAGCAAAAAGACAAATATTCACCACAGTGGATATAATTAGCCTTCCTTCATGTTGTACTTGATTTTTTTTAGCACATTATCACTCTTTTATAACCATTTGCCTCGCTGTGGCTCTGCTATGCTGCTGCCCTTCACTTGGGGAGCAGCTGATCGCTCCGAGGCCGACGCTCTGAGTTCACAGACACTATTGACGCTGTTGGCGTGTCAGGAATGGAAACAGACTGGGGGTGAAGGCAAATGTGAGAAAACAGAGACTTAACTTTGTCTGTTGTCATGGTTGTGACAAGGTTGTTTGCGAGCAAAATTAATGAGTTTGTTGCTTCGGTCAGGGTTCTGTAGGAATATCAGCAAAGTAATACATTGGACTTGATAGTCTTACAAAATCACATGAAGATTTTAGACTACACTAGATCACACTCACATACTTAGTATGCCAACAGATTCATAAGATGTAAAGTATCCCTACTCCTCCTCTGACAACCTTGAGAGATCAGACCATGTAACAGATCCCTGATATGTTTCGTCAAATGCTGCCTGTTCCCAAGGTCACAAATGAACTCTCAGTCTTTAAGCGTACAAGTAGATCTGACAAGATAAGGTTGATTAATTGATTAGTTCATCGACAGTAAATAAATCAACTATTTTGATCGATGTCCCATTTAACTAAATTCTCAATCATTAACATGAACATTACCTGTAAGAATGTTTTCCTTTTCCTGTCTCCTTCCTTTCACAGAAACCTGAATATTGTTGGGTTTTAAAACAGAACATAAAAAGATTGATTGATAATGAAATCATCTTTAGTCTCAACCAGCAAGGCAAGAGAAATCTCTACTAAAGTGTAACATTTTAAACATCAGAAATCTCTTTGACAGCAGGCCGAGTCGATCTGCTGTGGAGAATTGTGTGATAAAAAAAACAAACATCTAAAACAGTGGATAGTGTTTGTTCCCTAAAAATATGTATTCAAAAACTGAGAGTAACTCATGTGAGACCAGAGGAATATTGAGATCATAGAGAGAGGAAACAAGAAAGGAAGGGGCAAGATGAGGAGGACTGCTGGCTGTAGACAGCTGGCCAGATGTAAAGTGGAGAAGTAATGTCAGAGGAAACAACGTTTGCAAAGATTTGACCCTTAAATTGGAGGCTGATTTTTGACCCTGGGCCCCCATTTAACCATCCCTCTGTATTGACTTATTTTTGTAGTCCGCAGGGTTTCCCACACATAGACTATACTTGGGCGGGCCACCTAGGTATATTAGCGGCCGCCCAAGTATATTTCGGGACCCATTTAGGATTTTTTTTATTTTTTTTTATTCGTCGGCGACCATGACGCCATCTGCGATCGATTAACTTGTGGACAATGATCCCTCGCTCTACGCCTCCTGTACCCAGTCCCGGACTGGCCATCAGGAGGACCGGGGGGTTTCCCGATGGCCTGGCCTGTTAAGTGGCCTGCCTCACACAGGGTGACTGGCTGTCTACAAGATGTGGCCTGCCGACATGGCCACTGTCATACAGATCATAAATCAAAGCCCTTGATTGGTCTCTGTGTGTCCTTCAAGCTCGGGATAACCTCAGCTCAGGTGAGGTAAAGGACTCTCTGAGTGTTTAGATAGTTAACTTAGTCTAAGTTCTCAGTGGGTCTCAAACGGTTTGGTCACCATTTATGTAAACACATATTTCCATTTGAGAGGGTATAGTGATTAGTCAAATATGCATGAATAAATAAATAAAAAGTTAACTAGGTGAAAAAAGGTAAGATACACTTTTAAAACTTGTTGAGAGCTAAAACTAGTCTTTGCTGCTGCCTCAAAGAGGAGCAGGGAGGAGAGGAGGGAAACAGGGAGAGGCTGATTCAGGAGCACAGACACACTCACAACTATAAATGAACCAAAAATAAATAAATAAACAAGTTTCAGTGTTTTTCATATTGGAAATGGGATGTTATTGGTTATGGCCATGATTTTATGATTATTAAAATGTATACAGTTCTGTTTCATATAGGTGTTGTTCCCATAGATTTAGTCTCTTTGTTTTCCCCTCAAAGTGCACCAGATTGATGCATTTAACTCAAACATTTAAAAAAAAATCTTACCGGGGGAGCATGCCCCCGGACCCCCCTAGACAATTTGAGGTCCACCCCCACTTAAAATCACATTGACAGGTTCCTAAATACATTTACCATTAAAAAAAAAAATAGTAACCCATGTCCATATTTTTATTTGTGGGTAGTAGATTTAAACTATAGAGCTATCACTATGGGCCCTGCCTGTTCGCGCAGGGCCTGTTCGGCCCTGCCTGTTCGCGCTGCCATCATGTGATGTGAAGGGTCTGCTAACAAGCGACCAACAGAAAGGTTCATGTTAATGTTGTTGCACGTCATCTCAACCACCCCCCCCCCCNNCCCCCCCGCTACCACCAGCCCCCAAGTATATTTCAAATCTGTAGGAAGCACTGAGACCTCATTCCCACATAAACCTTTAGTTATTTCTCTTTTACATATATTTCCCTAAGACTTTTCTTTGCTGTCGGTTTGTATGTGTCGCAACGGTGACCCATTTACAAAAGCTTACAGAAGGAAAATATAATTATAAAGTCATTAAAGTGTTATCGTAACAGCTCTTGCCTGTAAAACCCTGGATATTGACTTCTTAACGACAGCAGCTCATGTGTCTCTGAGAAGTGGACAGAGGGGGGGGGGCATGTCATCTCGGATGTCGGACAAGCAGCATCAGAGCCGCTTAATTAAATCAGAGTGAATTGAGTTTGTAAATGGCAGCCAAGCCATACACACACACACACACACACACACACACACACACACACACACACACACACACACACACACACACACACACACACACACACACACACACACACACACACACACACACACACAATCTCTGCTGTATGATAAATGATCCTGTAACCGAACATGAAAACTGACTTTTTGAAATGGTACACCTTGAAACACTCTCCTCTTCTGCTTACTGCAAGGCTATCCTGAGCCACGGGTTAATGTTCTAGTCACAAACAAAATCCCATACTTTTTTTTGACAGGGGTGAGTTATTCCTGAGTCTGTGACTTAATTGCCATAATGAAGTGATTTGTTTGCATCTCTTTATTTCGTCCTCCCTCTCTCTGACAGGTGTGCAAAGTCGAGTCAGATAAAGACAGTTTCCAGCAGTAACATATTCTTCAAAGGCAGCAGGTTCAGATACAGGTGAGATCCCATTCAAGTTTTCATGAGAGAAAATAAAATTACAACATTTTGACAACAAAATATGTGTTTTAAATGGAAATAAGATGATCCATTCATTATGTGCAAAGAGAGTTGGAAACAAAAGAGAGACATAAAAAAGGGGACCCAGAGAGAGTAGTTTATGAAGGAGTAAAGGGGGAGAAACAGAGTCAGATTCAACCCCCTAATAGATTAGTCCTAAACAAATCTAAGTTACCTGTATTGTCAACTGTTCAACTACTCCCTCACTCTACAAATAAACTTTCACTCTAGATAAAATAGTTGGACATTTGCAATGAGAATTGTGTGATTTAGTATTGACTTAAATCCATTGCCCTGGCTCCAACCTGAGAGATGTGTGTGTGATTTACCTTGAGTCGCTCCACATGCGGCCTCTCCTCTTTGCACATCAGCACTTTCATCCAGCTTGTTGTTAGCCTCTGTGATTTACTGTCCCTAATATCACAGGAAAGCCTCTACATAAGTCTGTTATTGAAGCCATGTTGGCTCCAATTCTCCTCTCAGACAAAGCTCTTTACCAGGCTTACACTTCAGTCTGCCCTATTTCATCAGCTGGCTAAAGCAGTTTGGCTAAAGGGCTCAGTGATGAGTAATAGCATATGTTGGAGGTTGGTCTGAAATATGGCAATTGGTCATTTGTGCAAATGGTAAGAGGAAAGAGATTTGTGGTCCACAAAAAGTGGTGGTTTCCATAAAGCAGAGCTGATTTGAATTTTTTATATAGCTTTTTTACTATCATAGCTCCACATTTGCCATCACACAGGATTGATGTGACTCTCCACTTGTACTATCAAGGGAATGTCTACCACTCCAGATGTTAAATCTAACCCTCTAATTTATCACCTAACCATCAATCTCAGAAACAATAGACTAATGGGTGGGATGGTGGAGCCTGCTGGCTTCAAACAGAGCGGTCAGAGTCGCCCAGCCCTCAGACTAATGGAGCTCCTGACCCGGCCAGCAGGAAGCTCCCACTCAGCAGCTCAGAAACAGCTCTCATTATGAGCAACTGCTGCCAAATACAGATGAAACATGACACTTCTGATGTAGTCAAATCAGTCAGACTCTCTAATTTCCAACTTTTAGTTTAGATTACTGAATTAAAATGTTAATTAAGTAGAAGTAGTATCAGCCAAATCTACTCCAAGTATGATAAGTAAAAGTAATCAGTATGCAATTTCTGTTTTCACAAATATTATATAATTGTATTATTCCATAATTGTGTATATTATTTTAATGTTGATCCAAATGTAGTTACTTTTTAAATACAGGGTATATTAGTTGTACAGTAATGGTATACAACGTAGATGATAAAAGCACACATAAAATAATGAAAGGGAGTAAAACATTAATAAGTGGCCTCCAAAATGCAAAGTTTAAAGGGGACCTATCATGCAAAATGCACGTTTTTATGCCTTTTTATACATAAATATGTGTCCCCCGGAGCGTCAGAAAATAAAACCCTTTCTCTTTTCCTCCGTACCCAAATCTTTTAAAAACGGGGCTACAACGAGTGGATACAGATTTGCTGCCGATCTGACGTCAAATCTCGGCGGACCCACAGAAAGTTGCTATCAGAAACAATGCCTGACTTGTTTTGGACGTAATCTCGTCTTTGTTTTAATATTGTTAAAATATTAGCAAGCCTCGCTAACACTCAGAGCTAACCTGTACTGTAGAGCTCATGTGTTTAAAAAGCAGGAAATAAAAAAAGGAACTCACCTTGTTTCAAAGTGATAAACCCGCAAGAGAAAAAGCATTTGAGCTCCATACTGTTTCAGAACTAACCCTTGATGTGGTTTAGAACAGGATGGCGTTTTATCACAGCAGAATTTTACTTTATCTCCGGTAGAATTCTGATCAGGCATTAGCTACGCCTCCTCCTCCTCCTCCTCCTCCTCCTCTTCCTCTTTTTTTTCAAGCTAAGTACCCAAAATCCGCGTTTCTCTAACGGGGCTGGAATAGAGGGATATGAGGGATTTCTAAAATGCATGATCTGTTTTTATTTTGAGCAAAACACATCATAGACATGTTTTTATATATTTGTATATATCTGAGACCAATAATATATGCCTTATGATAGGTGCACTTTAAGTGAATGCATGAAATGGAAGTATACAAAAAAGTATTTACTTGAGTACATCTAGTTTGTTATATTCCACCACTGGTGGAACACAATATGAGACCGAATGAAACCTTATTAAATCTATGAAGTCTTAGTTGTCTGTGTGTTTATCAATTTAAAACAAGAAGTTATTAACCTTTCTATAGATTTATTTCTGTGCACAGTAATGCCCCTTCAGCATAACCATNGGTCCAATGATGTCAAATCAAGTGTCAAAACATCTTAGCAGAAGAATGGTCACGGAATTGAGGTTCTAGACCCAACTACAATATCACAAATGTTACATTTGTCTCAGTGGACTTCACAGTTTGTACAGAATATCAGTATGACAATACGACACCCTCTGTCCTTAGACCCTCTGTCCTTAAACCCTCTGTCCTTAAACCCTCTGTCCTTAGACCCTCTGTCCTTAGACCCTCTGTCCTTAAACCCTCTGTCCTTAGACCCTCACATCGTACAAGGAAAAACTTCCAGAGAAACCCACAGTTTAAAGGGGAACATGGGAGAAACCTCAGGGAGAGCAACAGAGGAGGGATCCCTCTCCCAGGACGGACAGACGTGCAATAGATGCCGTGTGTAAATCGAAGAGATAATACATTTTACAACGTAGGTAGACCAAATGTTTGGAAATGCATGTGTCGATAATAAGAAGATGAATCCACGAGGATGTCAGCAGTCCTGTGGGAGCCATCAGGGAAGTAGTATGATGAGAGTCAGGCAGGACCACAGAGACAGGTTCAGCCACGACGCAAAGTATTTCTCCTCAACTTGTTTACAATAGCTCTGCAAAGGGCTTTTGGAGCAGCCTTTTTCCAGTGTGTGAGGAAAGGTCGAGGGAGGAGGAGGGGGAAGGAGGGAGGAGGGAGGAAAGAGGGAAGGAGGGAGAAGGGAGGAAAGAGGGAGGGAGTCAGCATAGCTAAATGAAAAGAAATCCAAATCTTGCAATTAATCTGCTTATCTCCCCTGTGGGCAGATGTTGCAGCAGGTCAGGGGAATAAATAGACGAAGAAGGGGGGAAGAAAAACGTCATGGCCGCCCCTTCAAATGTTACAGCAGACCTCTGCATAATCACGGCTGCCCTTGCCGCCACCTTGTCTAAATCTTTGCTTCTGTTTTCTTGTTTTGTTCCACTCCAACCATCTGGGATCGGGGGGGTCTGATCACTCACCGAGATGCCAGTAATGCTCGGAGTCTGTCTTTGTGCCCTAGAAAATTACTCATCCTTGACTACAGGCTGTTGACCACTGAGACAAACAACCCTGTGATAAAAGACAGGATTCATCATCAGAAGGAACGGGGGCACAAACTGATATTGATAACTGGAATTCAGCGTAGTTTGATGATCTGTTTTGAGTGTTTACTGGATCCCTTACTTTAACCTTGGAAAAGTACATAAAGCCTTGAACACATGACATCTAAATATGCAACTTGAAGATTTATACAGTGCATCGAATGTTTGCTTATCTTCTTAGGGTATAATATGTCATGCAAGATTTCATAAGTGCTTCTAACGTTGATAGCATGAGTTCTTCTACTGTATTGTTCTCAATACAGTAGAAGAGGAACTGTATATTTACCAGTGCACATGTGGACTATAGGCTCGATCGCACAAAAGTGACAAATATTATGTATTTATTATGCATAAAATATGTGAATCTCAAAAAGAAAAATGATGATTTAAGCTGGATTTGGCTTAATAATAGTATTTGTTACTCTTATAGTTATACAGACAGATCAATACAATATAAATACCTGCACATTTATCAGTTAATTTCAACTAATATAACGGACAAATAAATATTTGCTAGATGTTCTTGCACCTTCTCGAATGACAATATATTCTACTTAATTAAATGAAATGCTTGTTAGACTCGTCTTTTGCTCATGCTTTCACACCACGTCTCCTCTTCATGTGCATTTCTGGGTATTTTCCTGATGAAAGACAAAGCGTTCTTAGTAGTGTGAGCCTGAGGGATTTGGTTAAACTCACATTTTACTGAACCTGCAGCCAATAAGAAGGTAAAAGACCTTTCCTTCCCCCCTCTCTGTGGATCCAAGAGACACTAATGCAGATTTCTAATTAACCGCAGAGACACAGAAGTCCATTTCCTCACCTTGCAGATCGCCTCAGACTCTCATCAATGACAGGGAACTAAAACCTGTGCGAGTGATGATGAACACCTCACCATTAGCCTCAGAGTGTGAGACTCCTGCCCCCATTATTCTCTAATGCAGACTCATTTAACAAACAGGGGACATTTTAAGGAACCTCCTTCTCAGGTTTTAATCTACGGCTCAATTTGTCGTCCTTCCTGAGGAATAAAGATCGTTCTGCCGGGCTTTAATCAGCTCGCTCGGCACGACCTGATTAACAAGATAACTTTATTTCAGGTGGACCTCGCCGACAGGGACATCAGATAAAGAGAATGAGGACAGGGTGGCATGAAGAATACACAATTAGGTATTTCCACTGGTCATATAGATTTTAAAGCATGCATATAGACTTGGGGCTTCTGAATTGCAGTAATTGAGTTATTTCAACCAATAAACTCAATTTTATCGCTCGGAAGTTGGTAATCTGCTGAATTGAGTTGCACAAACACCGTTATGTCCCTCAGTGTGCCGCGGATGACTTCTTCTTCTCCTTTCATAAGCAATAAAATAATGATAGGTGTCTGAAATGGCTTTTCTCCATATCTGCTGAGAGCGTATGGATTATCTCCGTCTGAAATTGCTGAAGTTTGCCCTCCTTTGATAGCAGGCCCAGGTTGCTGGAAATATTCATAGATCTATTTTCAAGGCGAGCAAACTATATATGGAGGGCGTGAGAAGAGTGTCTGGAGTACAGGAGCTCTTAAAGAGAGATGGATTAAGCTTGTGTTTTCCTCGTCTTTGCAAAATGGAAATGATTGATTTGGCTATTACGTCTTTACAGGAAATAAAATTATGTTTTTCTGCCCCAGACTGTGGATAAATCTGCTTTTAGGGTTTCCATTAACGTTGTCAGAGTGTGTTCCCATTGTGGATCATTATATGGATTAGAGGGAATCTCAGTGTGCATAAATCTTTTCATCAAGGCTGTCCTGCCTGCGTCACCATGTAATCTTAAATGATGTAAGTCAGACTCCAGCCTTCATGTGAAATCTCTCTGTGGAGTATCCGTTGTTTCATTTTTCTCTCAACACTTTTTTGTCTCATTTGATTGAAGAGTCATCTTTTATCACTGATTTCATTGTCGCAGCAGAAACTCTTGTTATCATCGGAGTGATTGCTCTGCTGCAGAATTACTGTCAAAACAAAGGAAAAAGCAGCTTTTTATTTAGAGTCTAAAGCCATGCATGTTGTGGCTATACATTGAGCTAAATGCTAATGACAGCATGCTAACGTGCTTGTCACTACCCGATCTGTCCCTATCTGCAGTGTGTATGTGCGAGATGGTCTGCCATATTGGACAACTCCGTACGGCAACCCAACTAGGACACTTGACACAGTGGCGTTTGGCAAAGCTCAAAAAGAAAACTCAAAAAACCGAGAGAGATGAGTTATTGTTATTACAACGTGGCTTCACTATTATTTAACAACTTTGTTTATTGGGTCATTTTATTGGGTTAAGTACATTGTCAGAATAAGTGAGAAATGGATTTAAATTCTGTTAGACAGCTATCATACTGAAGAAATGTTGACTGTGAATGTATGCAATATGTATGGCATTCATCATTTATATCTAATTACATTAGCTGTGAACGTCCTTCATTTTATTTCAAACAAAATAAGATAATAATAAGAGGTTTGTATAGATATTTGAGACGTTTATGACTCGCGCATGCACGAGGCAAATCGGGCCGCCGTCTAGACGCCAAATGTCCTATTTGAGTTGCCGTATGGAGTTGTCCAATATGGCGGACCATCTGGCACATGCGCAGTGCGGATCGGGTAGGGATGCGGATCGGTATAGTGACAGTGCTAATGTTGATGTAACAGGCCCCGCTATGCAGGGCGCGATGACAGATAATATGCAAAACAGGAGAAATTATGAACAAACAAATTCCTTTGCTGCTCATTTGGCGGATCTTGCCAGAATGTATTAATCATTTGGCACACACAATTGTTAATGCCCTTTTCTGTCTTCAATATAAACACATGTTTATATATGTTCATGTCTTCAATATGTCTTCTACATATATCTATCTATCCATCTATCTATCTATTTAATGTATATTGAGCTAAATACTAATAAAAGCTTGTTTTTGCCAGAAACCACCTGGATGTACTGTAAGTTTTGGCCATAAACTATAGCCTTTTGACTAAAAAATGTAGACAATTCTTTAGTTCTTTCTAAGTAAAGCAAATACAAACTAGAAGAGAACTTGAAGAATGCAGACTTTTGCCAAGGCAGTTTCCATAAGTGGAAAATAATTTGTGCATCTGCCTCGTGAATTGGATCTGCTCCAAAGGCGTCATCCTTCTGCAGAGTTTAATGAAAATTGGACGAGTAGTTTTACCGTAATTCTGCTGACAAACAAACCAAGCTCAAGCTTTAAGTCATAAACCTAATAACTGCAATAACAAATGAAAGATGCAAAGAATAGGAACAGCTATACTGCGCACTGTATCAAAGTATAAATCCCAAGTGTGTTGTTGAAGTCGGTGCATGTCTAATTATGAGTGTGTGTGAGAGGAGGAACAGCTGAGGTTTGCAGGTGTTTCTCAAAAACCAGGTCAGGTCTTGCCCCGATGAAGTTATTTGGAAACAAGTGAAGGTGTTGCAAAGTGATTAGCATCCGTCCTGAGGGGGACATGAACGTCTGTGTGAAATGTCAAAGCCCTCCATCAGAGAGTCTGCAGCAGATACTTAAGTACATTGTTCTGGTATCAGTACTTTACTCCACTACTTATTTACTTTCTACTTCTTACATGTTGAACACAAATACCTGTACTTTCTACTTCTTACATGTTGAACACAAATACCTGTACTTTCTACTTCTTACATGTTGAACACAAATACCTGTACTTTCTACTTCTTACATGTTGAACCCAAAAACCTGTACTTTCTACTTCTTACATGTTGAACCCAAATACCTGTACTTTCTACTTCTTACATGTTGAACCCAAAAACCTGTACTTTCTACTTCTTACATGTTGAACACAAATACCTGTACTTTCTACTTCTTACATGTTGAACTCAAATACCTGTACTTTCTACTTCTCACATGTTGAACTCAAATACCTGTACTTTCTACTTCTCACATGTTNTGTATACTTGGGGGACTGTGGCTGTGAGGGAGTGCCGTCGTCTTTCAACCAGAAGGTTGTGGGTTCGATCCCAGCCCATGCAGTCAACATGTCGATGTATCCTTGGGCAAGATACTTAACCCTGAGTTGATACATCGACATGTTGACTGCATGGGCTGGGATCGAACCCACAACCTTCTGGTTGAAAGACGACGGCACTCCCTCACAGCCACAGTCCCCCAAGTATACAAAAAAGTATTTACTTGAGTACATCTAGTTTGTTATATTCCACCACTGGTGGAACACAATATGAGACCGAATGAAACCTTATTAAATCTATGAAGTCTTAGTTGTCTGTGTGTTTATCAATTTAAAACAAGAAGTTATTAACCTTTCTATAGATTTATTTCTGTGCACAGTAATGCCCCTTCAGCATAACCATGGCCTTAGTATATGCTTTAGAAAAAAAAAAGGACCATAGTTTTAATTTAATCTTATTTTATTTTGTGAAGCTCTTTGTGATGGTATACAGAATTTGCAACTCTTGTCTTTTCTCGCCATGAATGTGTGTTAGTGGACGAGTAGCCAAGGAGGTGATAGAAGCCAGCTCTAAGATAAAGAGAGAGCAACCAGAAGTACGCAGGTAAGCACAAGTCACATTCCACCTACACTCTCTTACAGTTAGTTACCGTTATTAAAGTACATGCATGCTTACTTATAGTAATACTTTACTACTGAGGGGTATTACAAGTACAAACAGTCTAATAATAATCCATGTATGGGGAACAAAATCTGCAAAAAAGCCTGTGAATTGTGGAGTTATGCTTTGATTACCCAAAACAATACACATCTTTCCTATCACAGAGCAGTCAGTGTATTTTGTTGTGATTTCAGAGCCCAGTTTGGTCAGAGTCGAAGTTATAACTCTTTGAGCCATAAAAACCTCATCATGAACATGGAGCCGCTGGTACCTGCACTGCCCTCCACCAACGAATACGAAGAGACGGCCGCAGACAACGGTAGGATGTTACCGACTCTACACACACACACACACACACACACACACACACACACACACACACACACACACACACACACACACACACACACACACACGACACACACACTACACACACACACACACACTACGACAACTACACACTAACGACTACACTACAACTACGACGACTACACAGTACCAGTACTACGACAGTACTCGACGACGACAGTACACTACGACTTACGAGTTACGTAAGACGTACTTTACGACTTAACCGGCTAACGTACCACTTTAAGACACTACGTACAACTACGTAACACAACCTACCACCAACACTACGACACACACACACACACACACACACACACACACACACACACACACCCATGCCCTCTCCTGCCACAGACCTCCGGAAAGTCACATGGGGTCTCCCTTGTGTATGATGAGGGACATGCACATCCCTCGGACAGAAAGCGTTAATTGAGCAGCAGATGCTCCCTGTCTTGTCTCCCTGGAGACACCAATAGCAGCATGCTAAAAATACCCTTCCCATGATCCTCCCTGAGTACACCACCATGCCTCTGTGTGTCTGTGTCTGACTTTGTGTGTGTTTTACAGAGGAAGGTACACAGAAAGAGAGCAAGCTTGTCTTATCATCAATGAAAACCCAATTAGAAATGAGTTGGTCCCAAAGGAGTCTGTCTCTGTTCACATCCTCGTATTCTCCTGTTTGCACAATATGCAACCTTTTTTCTCCTTTGCGTTTTGGCCTATTTATAGCATTTATTTTAAAGCTTTTGAGATTGTCTACAGCTCATTTCACTAGTTCCTTATAAATTCCCTAAAAGTCATTTGGTAAAATATTTTAGTGAAAGCAGGATCTTTTTATAAAAGAAGCTTAATTCTAACCCAAGTTAATAACCATGAATTGCTTGATTATTATTTTACGTTTTTTATTTTGTGTTGAATTGTTTACTTTCCTGTAGACAAATTACACACTTTCATGTTCTAGCAGATTACTTAAAAACATAACCTTAAAGTTAAGATTGACCGAAACAGTGTCTATTAACCATACAATTAGTGCTATATTACATAGTTCTTTCTAGGAAATGTTTTTGCAGCTAATTAGAGTATTATGTAGCCATTGGGGTATTTCGTATGGGATATTTCAGTAAAGCTCTCCATCAGCCCAGCTGGCCTGTCGACACGGGGCTCACAGTTGAACCTGGAACAGTTTCTCCCCATGAGAGGGTAAAGACTCGGCTCTGATGAGGCAAAACCCAATCAAGCAGAACAGAGTACCGTAGTTGGTAGTTAAGGGTTTTTCCCCAGGATACCACCTTCCCCTAGTAGATTTATGTAGTCGATAAAAAGTACTCGCAACGCTGTGAGTTTAAATGTTTCCCCTGTGACATTTTTCTTTAGCAGGTTATCGTTTCTCTCTGTCGCTTGTTCTCTAAGTTATTAATCCTGACACTCTCCACTGCAACCTATTATCTGATTGAAGCATAAATCTTGTTGTAGAAGGAGAAGAAAGCAAGTAGGGAAGAGCACAGGGATTGATTACACGAGACAACACTAGAGCGGAGATGTTAAGAGAGCATTTCAAAAAGATAAAGAGAATACGGGAGTGGAGAAAATAGATTGTAGGGCTTATAGCATGAACTGATGGTGATGGATGTTCTCCACGTCTGTGATTGAACATAGTAGGAGGAAGTAAGGGTTGATGAGAGACAATTGGAAGGTTTGATTACGGGAAAATGGGATATAAGAGAGGGGGAAAGAGGCAAGGAAAAAGTGATGTAAAGATAGTGTCTGTCTTCTATTGAGTATGGCAAGGGCATCGTTTAGTTTTCGAATCAAGAAAACCAGGTGTTAACAATAAATCAGTTAAAAGTTATAATTCCTTCTCTAAAAAATACTCCACCATCATATATTACTCCCACATCAAAAAATCGTATTTACTAATATGATTTGTGTCCTTTTCAACTATTATAATTAAAAAAGTAAAAAAAACAACCAATCTTGCCGTCAATCGTTCTGAGTGTTCTATTATAAGATGTTTTGTTGCTTCAAAGTTTATGTTTTATATTCTCCAGATGTTTAAGTGCTAATTTTAACATTAATCTCCAGCAGTCCATCATATCCTATAAGATCATCATGGGTTTGAATGGTTGCTGTTCTGTGAGAACCACGTAAAAAGTGGATTTGTTTTTAGTAGATAATTTATGGGCTTAGATTTGTCTCACAATTAAATATAAATAAAAGCAATACACAGGAAGTACACAGTATACACAATGAATATTACAATATTTAATGTTGCCTTACTGTGAAGGCTGTTGTTCATTATAGTAATACAAAAACGGCACATTAAACAAACCATCATGCTCTTACTTTGAAACCTTGAAATCTGGAAATGTCATCATCAGCAGGCCATCACGTGGTTTCCGAAAATAACCGAGTGACACGAGCAGATTTCGGTCGAGACCGGCGGAAAGTTTGTCTCAAAACTCTGTGAAGTGAATTACCTACCCTACCTTTAAGGTGATGTATTTACTATGTGGGCCATAATAAGAAGTGAAAACATTTTATTTTTATCTTGGACATTTATGTGAATTTTCAGTGGTGTACTTACTATGTGGGCCATAATAATATGTGAGAAATAGTCGTTTTCTTGGATGATGTGAAGTTAAGGTTTTTGATAAGCTTTGGGTATTGTAATTTCACACGTGTACAAAAGTAGCTTAATTCAACTGATATGGGCTATGTGAATAAATGTAAGTGATGTGATGCAAGTAGCTCTTGGCCACTTACATTTTTTCAAAGTAGCTCTCAGATGAAGAAAGGTTGGAGACCCCTGGTCTACGGTGATGCACTGAGCATGCTAAAACGATTTATAATCAAATTGTCCAAGTTCCCCATTTCCCAAATCTTTTCAAATACATCTCTTTTTGAATTAATAAATAAGAACTACAATAAAATACTGATAAAGATGCTAATTACACTTTCAATCTTTGAAGCAGATCGGTCAGCCAATAAATAGTATTAGTGAAGGTTCTTTCTAGAAAATATACATTATTACAGGTCTGCCATATTAGGCCAGACCTGTAAGAAGCACACGTAGCACCATTTCAATAATTTAAGTTGAATGAAGGGCCCAAATCCAAAGTGGGATCAGGGGCGCCGCCAGGGATTTTGGGCCCCATGAAAATATCACATTGGGCCTCACCACCAGGCACAGGCCACTTTGTTTATAAATTACCCCGAATTCCCCACCTCTGCTTTAATATAATAACATTAGTATTAATATCATAA